AGTCGACGAGATAACACAATCAATCGACAAAATCATACGAAAATATAAATTAGTAGTCACACCCCCAGGAACACCAACAGGCACTCCAAAAGATATTCCAACTGATCTAGAATTACCAGTCGCCGTTACAGAAAACCAGGAAGAAACTGAAAATAATAACAAACCAGTCCCACAGAAGTTACAACTACCAGTCCCGCAAATACAATTACCAGTTCCAGTAGCAAATCCGCCTCTGCCTCCACCGCAACAAGGTCATCCACCAGTAATCGTCCAACATCAGCAACAAGACGAAGAAGAAATGTCCGCTGCCATACCTTATCCAACTTTTAATGGAGTAAACCCTAAGTCATGGCTTGCTCAGATCGAAAGAGCATTTAAAGCAAATGGGGTCCACGACGATGCTCATGATAAACGAATTGGCATCGCAGCATACCATATGGGATCATTCCAAGAATGGGCCGGACTACACAACCCACAAATAACAGAATGAGATAATGCCAATCAAGGACATGAAGGATTTAAGCAATTTTTCATTGCCGAATTCTTTAATGAAGATACCAAGGCAGAAGCCATGGAATTAGCTAGTAAGCGAATTCAAATGTCAGGAGAAAATATTGACTCCTATCGAGCAGCCCTAGAGAAAATTTGGCAAGAATGTGATCCAGCTGACTTGCCAGCCAGACAGAAACTCTGAATATTCTTAAATAGATTAACCCCTGCAATAAGAATGTCAGTCAAACAGACCTCACCAGCAGATTTAAATGCAGCCGTGCAAACAGCAAAAATCCATTATAGAGCAATCAGAGAAGAAATGCAGCCTTCTTCGTCAGTGGAAATTAACAAGGCTATGGCTGGAGAAATCAAACAGCTTAAAGAAAGACTGGATAGTTTCGAAAGAAAGCCAAGAACACCATTTCAGCCACAATGAACCAGACAACCAATATTGAATCTCCAATGCTTTTATTGCGGAAGAATGGGACATAGACAGGCGGAATGCAGAATCAAGGCTTTACATATCAAGCAAGGGCGACCACTTACCTGGGCTGTACCAAGAAGACCCCAGGGAAATGCGAGACAGGGAAAAGGCCAGCCACGTCAGTAGAGGGCACTGGCAGTGGCACACTTAAAAGACCCTCACAAGGCGCAAGGCAGTATGGGGTCACTGACGTATCAGGACCTACATATTGTATAGCCTTTGTGGAGGAAGAGGAGAGTAGGATTTTGGTCGATACCGGATCCTCAGTTACCATTATTTCAGCTAAGTTCTTTGATAAAATAGCAAGAAAAATGAAGAAATGGCCTATAGTAGAAGAAGCGACATACAAGATTCAAGGAGTAACTGGTCATTTAGAGAAACCATGAGGAGAAGTGAAAGAATTACCTTTACGATTCCAAAGAAATGGACTAGTATGGAATCTAAATGCATGCATAACCGAAGCAACAGCGGCAGATATAATATTAGGAACAAATTTCCTAATTAAATACGGAGCAATGTTAGACCTTCCCAGACAACAACTGATTCTAACGAAAACGAAAGAGTACCAAGAAATCATACCACTAGTCGAGAAGAAACAGCTACAGATACGGACAGTAAGTTAATCCAAATTGGAAGTGCTCAGATGGACCAAAAGAATTCCAGTGCATGAAGAGATTTGTACCTGATGATGTAGATGAAGATCCAGAACCATGTGTTAGATGCCATAATCGATACTGTTGTATGTCAATTCCGAATTTATATCAGTTCCGAACTGACATATGTCAGACCAGAATTTTATGTCACTTCCGAACTGACATGTCAGATCGGAATAATTAGTAATA